AGAGGGATTGTTTCTAGTCAATATAAACCCGGGGGGATGCCATGTTGCAAGACCCCCCCCCTGTTCTTCCTCTTTTCCTCCAATGTCTGAGCATTTCAATTAAGGAAAGTTCTCACTGTGCAACTCTGAAATTAAATTAAAACAGGTATTTCCTTTCTGACTCTCACACATCCCTAAATGCAGCCGCTCCATCCTTCTTGGGTACTGCTGATGATATCAAAGCATTTCCCCTCTGATTGTTACGGTTGGTTCAATTCACCCAATTTTCTGAACTGCGGGAGAACGATCTGCACTAGCTGGGCACCGCCCACCAAACTAGCGTGGGTTTGCTTAACTTGCAGCTCATCGTGTCGTGAGAATAGAGGCACGGTCTCTTTGACGCCCTTCCTCTTTCTGGCCCCACTTAGCAGATGGGGTGTCAGGCACTGCAGTCCTTAAACCCCAATAAAAAGAAACATTCTCCAGAGACTCCATAGGTCCAAAAGAAAGTCAGAGTATTAACATACAGGCCCTAGCAAGGAATTGCTGAAACTGAAAAGCCCGTGCAGAGCAATCCTTTCTTAACCCCTCTGCTTGCCCCTTTTTCCCCTCATTCTTTCTGGCGCCTTCCTCTGCTCTCATGCGGGTACGACCTTGGCATTCCTGAAGACTAGATAAGGCGAAGCCATCTGCACTAACCACTATGCACCTCACTGGCATTACCCCCTCCCCAGTACAACTATGGCAGAACTGAGCAAGCTAGCAATTACAATTCATCAACAGATTTAACTGTGAGGTTCTGACACGGGGCTTTTCTACCGTTAGATCTAAACGGACAGTTGCACCAAGGTTTAGTAGAGTAGCATAAAGTCAGTCCCAGGGCCCAAAATGCCCACTTCCAAAATATGGGAGCAGAAAACTGAAGCGCTGGACTGTGTCCAAATATTCCACCAGGAATAAGCAACATTTCCCTCTTTTAGCTGGCCAACTAACCAACGTGACCGTGTCTGATCTCAAAAAAAGGTAAGCAAGATTTTTCTCTTCTTCTTGTTTTTCACACTTTTTAATCTTGTACATCTGTCATTTCTAATCTTTCTTTCTTCCTATGTTCTTTCTCAATATTAGTTTTTGTTAGTTTTTTATTGCTCTTTAAAAAATTTTTAATAAAGTTATTATTAAAAAAAAAAAAGGTAAGTTTGGGTCTGGTTTCTGAGGCTGGACCGCTTTGAAGGCAAAAGGGTGCTTTGTGGGTGTGGGAGCTCCAACACAGCTCCCGTCTGCACGTTTGCAAACCAGATGTGACTTTGCCCACAAGCAGCCTCTTGGCCCTTGGAAACAGCACATCTGCTTGAAGGGGTGGCCCCCAAGTGCTGGGTTGGCTCCCCGGCATGTTCTGAAGCACATTGCATATCCAGACTTGGATGGGACGACACCAGGAAAGCCCCCAAATTGGGGCTATATTGGGGGGGGGGACCCCCCCCCCCCCCCCCAGGAGAGAAGGGCAAACCCTTTCCACAGTTTGGTGAGAAAACCACACAGGTGTCGATGAAGTCCCTCGATGCTGAACTCAAGGATTTTAACTTAACAGTTTTTTTAAAATGTTGCTGTGAAGGAGACAGAGAATTGGGAAACTGTTTCTGGGATCCAAACCCACTGCTTCATTCTGCTTGTTCCATCTCAGGTTCAGGGGGTCTCCTGGGAGTACGTCCCCTGTGCAGCTGCTCCGGTTTTGAAATCAATATTATGCAGAAAGGGGTTCCCCGGGGCCGGTCAGAGCCACGAGCGACTTCAGTTGTTTACTCTCCGGCAGTGGCAAGCCGTACAGGCTTGTGGCCAGCTGGGGTGGGACGTGCTGAAGTTGGGGGGCCGTACAGGTGTGTCTGATCAGTGCAGCCACCGGCTTTTGGCAGACCTTCATCTGCAGGATGTCTGGATTCATACAACATGCTGGGTTCAGCTGAAATGGCCCTGGGTAGCCTGTGGTTTGAGAAGTTGTCTGAACACAGAGATGACCTTGGCCTGTTGGGTGAAGCAGGCCATTCAGTCAAGCCTCTTTGTTTGGCCCCTGCACTTCAGAGGAACCCAGCAATTGTGTTTTGCTAACCTGGGTTTGGCCTGTTGTGTGAATCCAGACGGGGGGACGGTGCAGAGTACCCATGGCAAGTCTTGGGGTGCTTGGCATGGCTGAAATTGTTAGCAAAATTTAAGAGTTTCTGACTCTCCCCAGTTGGGATTCAGTCCGGCAGAAGATCAGACACGAAAACATGAAATTGTTAGCAAAATTTAAGAGTTTCTGACTCTCCCCAGTTGGGATTCAGTCCGGCAGAAGATCAGACACGAAAACACCAGCTGAGATTTTAAAGTTTTATTGAAAGCAGGCCAATAGAATCAGCTGGGGTCTCCCCTTAAGGCAGAGAAGCACCCCAATCACACCCAAAGAAGAAGATTTCATACACGTTTCTTACACAGAGATACAGCAATTAACACACTGATTGGCTAACATTGGCATAAATGTGGGAATGAATGAAGAAAAGGAAGCCAGGGGCTGGAAAGTCTGGCATCGGGGTAAGGACGGAGCACTGAGGCACCTTAAAGAGGAGACAAAGAGGACCAAGTCCGGTCGGGCAGTTTCTGGCTTGTTTAGGAGGCCATTCCATGGTTTGATTTTCGCCACGCCCCCCCCCCCCCCACAAATGTGCCCTCTCAGCACTGCTGAAGCAGGAGCCTGTCTGCCTCCGGATCAGACCTCTGCCACTACCCCCTAGGATTCATG